AAAAGAAAAAAAAGAGAAATCAAAGTGGGGGTGTGAGAAAGCAAGACCTTGGTACAGGGCGGCTCTCTGCCCAATTGTCTCACATCCCCACACGTGCTTGGATGGCTGCAGGTGAGCTGTCTTGCGAATCTTGCTGGGTTTTCTTTATGGACAGATAGTCAACAACTCCCAAACAGTTCTTTGAAATGCGCGTGTGGAAGAATAAAAGAGCAATGACTCAAGTCTATATTTAAGATACATAGACACTCTTCAGGCATGTAATGACCACAATTCTAAAACTCTCTTTCCTTTTCAATGGCCGGGTTTTGCTGTTGACTCTGGTTGCAATGTGTACTAATTTACCACTTATGTTCCAGGGATTTAGAAAGCCACTCAATCAGACTCACAGCTTAGCCTAACCCTTGGCTCCCACTGCAGACATTTTCCTAGTTCCTAAAGCATTTGTGTCCTTCCATGCCCATCAGACCATGCGTACATTATCGATCAGCCTAATGTTCCTCGATAATCATAAGTAATATTTCAGATGACAAAAGAGAGAGAGAGCACGAGATAAAGAAAGCCACCCCAGGAGACTAAGGGCGAGCAGCTTGCATCGTCTCTCTTGGCACCCGTTTTAGATGCTTATGCTACACAGTGATCCTTTAAAGAAGGTGCCACCCCCAAATTAGGGTCTCTACCTATCTATAAACATAGTCTTAATTGAGTCTTAACCCAGTTTTCCCAGTAAGGCTAGACTCATGCAGACAACAGACAGGGCCGTGTTAAAATAGAATGTGGGGTTCTGTAAAGAGCGAGAAAGGGGAAGAAAGGAAGGCAAGGATGCAGGTTTCTTCCAAGTCAATGTTTTAAAAAGGTAGTTTCTTTGTGCTCATCTCTGACAGGCACTGTGCTTTGTCTCTGATGGATGGTGAGACTTGAGAAGCACAGCTGGGTGCCAAGGGTAAGGAAACAGAGAAGCACGTATGCAGTAGAAACAGAGAGGAAAGAAGGGGAGGAGGGGGAAGAGGAAGAGGAGGAGGAAGAGGAAGAGGTGGAAGAAAGGAGGAGGAAGAGGAAGAAGTGGAGAAGAGAGGAGGAGGAAGAGGTGGAAGAGAGTGGGGAGGAGGAGGAAGAGGAAGAAGAGGAGGAGGTGGAAGAAAGGAGGCAGAAGAGGGGGAGGAAGAGGAAGAAATGGAGGAGAGAAGAGGAGGAGGAGGGGGGAGAGGGGGAAGAGAGTAGATAGGAGGAGGAAGAGGAGGAGGAGGAGGAAGAGGAAGAAGTGGAGGAGGAAGAGGAGGAGGAGGAAGAGGAAGAAGTGGAGGAGGAAGAGGAGGAGGGGGGAGAGGGGGAAGAGTAGATAGGAGGAGGAAGAGGAGGAGGAGGAAGAGGAAGAAGTGGAGGAGGAAGAGGAGGAGGAGGAAGAGGAAGAGGAGAAATAGAGGTAAAAGAGAAGTTACAGTGTTGGAGCATCTTTAACACTTTTCTTTCTTATTATTAAGGAGAAAAATGGTGGTCAGGGGTTGGTGAATGGGTCAGAATCTTTTTCAGATTTGGCTAACAGGGTGTTTGCGCTAGATGGAGAAGCAAGAAAGACACACGCTAAAATAATCATAAAGGGTGGAGCGGTCAAAAAAAATCTTTGACTCACTGGGTGCCTCCCTGTAACACCGAAATGAATCACTCTTACTAGAGTTGTCGACTGTCTCTGAGAACTTGTGTTGAAGGCCTGAGAACAAGATGCTGCATCCACTTCAAAAAAAAAAAAAAAAAAAAAAAGGGGGTAGCAAAGAATAAAACTCCCCAGAACCTTTCCGTATTTGTGACAACAGTTTAACAGGGTTTCTACACACGAAGCTAATCTGTGCTTGTCTGTGTTCTCTCTACTTACAAAGATATACAAATATATGACTTATGAAAGTTTGACTATGAACACATCATTTCCTCTACACAACTCAGTGATGTCTTTGGAGGATACTTATTTCAAGCAGTTAACACCTGACCCCAATTTCTGTGGGTAATTAGTGAGCTAGATAACCACACAAAGTGGGTAATTATTTAGTACCCAAGGGTATGCTAGAAGTAGGTAGTGGCTTTGTTAACAAAAGCATATCTCTAATTATTATATCTATGATGGCTGTTTTAAAAATACCAGTTACTCTATCAACTGAACCATGATAAATAAGTCAACTGTTTTGCTGTCCTTAGCACATGCATATTTATCTTCCATCATGGTTAAGAATATTTACCTTTAATGTATGGAGGGTGGTGACAACTAATTAGTTAACATTGATAAGACTCTCAGAAGATGGGGTGTGCTAGAGAGCTTCTAAATACAACATTATTATTGCTATTATTATTTGAGCTAGAAAATTCCTGGCTGAGAGAAGCTGAGATGCTATTGTTTGGCCTACATCTTGGTCTGATGATAAACTGAGATCACAGATGTAGTGAGTGAAATCATGGGGCGTGGTCCAGTCTAACAGGGTTAGAAAAGAGAGCTAGGTGATACTGTATTGGCAGCTAGCTCAGGTTAGATGTGGGGAGCTGGAGAGGAAGATGGAGAGAGGGAGGGGCAGCAGGAAAGGGTCAGTGATGAGCCGGAAGGAGTGAAATCAGCTGGACCACACCCTCCTTCTAAAATCTTCCCACGTTCCCTTTGAGGGAGAGCAAATATCTATAAAAATCCCTAAAGAAGGAATCAGTGCAGTTCTGGGACAAATTTAGTATGATGAAAATCCATCAGTCAGTTGTATGGTATTTATTTGGGAGACTTATCAGTACATATTACTTAGGCAAAAGCAATACACTTTAAAATATTACAGTGTTGAGAACAGACACAGAGAGGAACCACAGACATTTTTACCCAGAATAGGAAGAGTGAGACAGAAGCACTTTCCAGAGTGTTGCTTTTATGAATGACTCCTAGAAGGAGAAAGGAGTACTGTTTCTTTTTTTACCGAGAAGGGGAATAAAGGAAGAAGGAAAGAAGCAGCAAGAGAAATGAGAGAGAGAGAGAGAGAGAGAGAGAGAGAGAGACTCCCATGCTTTCGAAGACCCCGATTCTAGAGAGCAACCAAGCCTTGAAAATAGCAAACGAGCAAAGATGAACACTTACTGCTTTCTCTGTGAATGTCCATCACCTTGAGCCTGTTGTCTGGGTCTGGCAGAGGCAGGACAGACAGAGGCCTCTGGGGTTCAAATATTCAAGTAGACTCACTGCATTTTTTCTTTCAATGCAAGGTTGTCCTGGGGATTAGCCCTAGGAGTCTGGGAGATGCAAGCACGGGAAGGGTAAAGGAAAATGTGCAAAGATGTTGTATTCCATCCAGTCCACGCTTCTAGAGGAATGGAAAGGGAGCAGACCCCATCCTTCAGCCAACAGGTACTACTACTACTGAAGTCTCTGCCGGCCGACACTCCCAGGACACAAGCTGAGGCTGTGATTGGAAGCTAATGTTGGGATGATCACATTGAAGAGTCTGAAAGCTGAGAGGAAATTTCTCCAAAGCCATCCAAGCCAGGCTTGTGACCTGAAGCCCAGGGCTTGTCACCCCCTCTCTGAGCTCAGAACTACAAAGGCTAGCTGGCATTCTCCAACCCGCCCAGCTCCTTTCAAACCCACAGACTGTGCCAGACTTGGCCCCACCTCCCCCTGCAGCAGATTCTGTAGCCCAGCTCCATGCTGTGCTTCAGGGAGCCAGATTTCCGTTTTAATTGTCCTACCTGGCCATCCCCTCTGCCACTAGCCCTGGTTCTTGGTTCTTGGCAAGGTTTCAAAGGCCCAATCAATGGCCTACCCTCCCCCATCATAATCTTCAATGCCTGTAGTTCCTCCTTCCCCAAAATGTATTCCTTTCAAATAAAATCTTCTCAGCAGTTTCTCACGTCTGGACACCACCACCTCCTTTCTTTGGCCTCTCTAACTCTCTTGTTTTGGGGGCCACATTCAGCTTCATGTAATGGAGGAACCCTAAAGAAAGTCAGAGCATTTCCCCCTTGCTCTTCGCCGCACTGTATTAGAATATCTGACACTCAATATATCTCAGAGAGTTTCCTAAAATCTCACCTAAAAGGAGCTAGAGCCAGCAGAGAACAGGTGTGTCCGTGTGTGTGTGTGTGTGTGTGTGTGTGTGTTGACCTAAGCATACAAATATAGTGGGAAAGAAAGGCCCTCAGGTAAACAAGGGCACTGGAGAACAGAGGAGAACTTTGTATAGTTAGGGACATTTGGTATAAAAGAAATGAGAATTAATTGTGGCAAGCACTTACAGGGAAAATGCACAACACACACACACACACACACAGAGTCTATATCAAACATCTACAGCAGTTCTATCCTAACACCCTAACATTGGCTAACTTTCTGATAAAGTATTTGCCCATTCTGTGGACAGGTGAGGCCGGGTCACAGGGTTCTGCAGCTGGAAGCTGGCCCACAGCAGACTCTGGGATGGACTGGAAAAGAAGGACAAACCCCCTTAATTCAACTCCTCCGTCCACTCCTGCCCAGCTTAGGAGCTCAGACTTTGGTGCTCCCCCCCATTATCTCTAAGATGCAGCAGAGCTTACTGTTGCTCTTCCAACACTCCTGTTTACTCTTACTTTGCAATTCTGTTCTCTGTGATTCCTTTCTTAGTGATCACTGATGGGCTTCTACATGTCAGATTCAGAGAGCTTATATCTCAGTTTGTCCTCAAACAGCCCTTAAAGTCATCATCAGTGTTCCACAGGTGCATAGAATAGGGTTCAGAATAGTCCGAATTGCCCAGCTTGAATGGCAGTCCCAGGATTTGAACTCAGGTATGTCTGCAGAGAACAGCCTTTCCTTTGTATTGTTGTAGCCCTTGTCCCGTCTTACTTAGTGTAAATAACTTTCTGCTGTGGGTCCCCTCTCGCTTGCTGTCTCTCCTGTGCATTTTCTACCCAATTCTATCTTAGCATTTACTCTGTTTTACTAGTTTGCTGATTTTATATAATACATTGTCATCCAAAACTTAAGTATAGGTCAGGCACTGTGCTAGGCAGTGCAATTTCTTTAGCTGAGAATGGAAAATGACACATGGCCTGTCTGCCATGCTATCTCCATCTCTGAACTCTAAGGCCATAAAAACAGAGGCTGTGACAAGGTCCTCCTTTGTCCTCAGGAGAGGGTACAGCCCCTAGCACACAACAGAGAGCCAAATAGTTCTGAATACATTTCTATGTTAATACGGTTTGTACTGTAGTTTAATTTTTTTAGCATTTATTATTTTTTTGCAGCGGTGCAGGGGTGTGTCACAGGGAACATGCTGAGGTCAAAGGACATGTTGTGGTAGCTGGTTCTCTCCTTCATCTATGTGGGTTCTTGGGACTGAACTCAGGTCATCAGGCTTGGCAGCAAGCACCTTTACCTACTGAGCCATCTCGCCAGCTGTTACTTTTTGTTGCTGTGATAAAACACGCCCAAAGACAACTTAAGGAAGAGTTTATTTGGGCTACACTTCCAGAGGAAGATCCATAATTGCAATGGTCAGCCAGAGCTGGAAATTGAGAGATCACATGGAAGTAGGACAAGGCTATAAGCTGTTAACCCTCTCCCCAGGAACATACTTCTTCCAGCAAGGCTGTCCCTTCTAAAGGTTCCATAACCTCCCCAAACAGTACTACCAACTGAGGACCAAGTATTCACATACCCGAACCTATAGGGGACATTTCTCATTCAAACTACCACACTAGCCCTATATTGTCCCTTTTTCAAAAAATATGGTTCACATTCAAATAACCTTTAGAAAACTACTTAGCAAAATGCCATACAAAAGTAACATGTAATACACTGTAAATTGCAGCCTCACTTTCTGAAGACTATACTCTGGCTAAGGTCCTACTTAGAGTCACATTAGTTTCTGAAAAACAGAAGACCAGTCTGCTCAGTTCCCTCTATAAGTTCTAAGGAGGTCACATAGTTTCTGTGTGAAGATAGTCAGACTCTATATATAATGTCACTGCTCTGTGGCTTAGATCATGTCATGTGATAAAGTATGCAAGGTGATGTGATTGTGGGGAAGAATTCTGGGCTGCACACCTGGAGGTAGAGGGCTTTTACTTTATAGTGTGAGTGGGAGTCCAGGTCTGCAGTAAGTCACCCAGATCCAATGTCCTCCTTTCAGAGAAAGAGGGTAACAAGCTCAAAATGGCTCATGACCATCTGACCCAAATGTCTGCAGGGTTTCGTAATGTGTACTCTGAAGAAAGATTAGACAATTCCTTACTTTGCCTAAGGAGAGAATATTTTAAATATGTATAATCGCTATCCTTGGCAGGCAAGCTTCTATTCTAATCTTTTTTTATTAACAAAGTCTCACTATTTTTTATTTGAACTCATGTACTAGCATAGAATATAGAAACAGAAAAATCAGATTCCCAGTAAAACATGCTCAGCTGTCTAGAAAATGGGGACACTGTCAGGTTGGTATGGCTTGGTGACTCAGACCTCAATCTGGGTTCTTCTCCAATGTCCCCTCCTGGAGTTCTACCTGATTTTATTACCACTTTCCATCTGAATCCAGTGGTCTCTTTTGCTTTTGTTTCTTGACCAAGAGTACCTTGACACTGAAACTCTTCTGAGAAGAGTTAAGTGGACACACCACAATGGCAGGGAAGAGGAGACAAGCAGTAGGCTGGAGCGCATGATTAGCGGGTGTCTCTGGGGTTGGGGTGGGTCTATCCTGTGGGCATGTGTTTGAAGGGTATACTGTGTCCCTTGTTCCCTCTTGTCTATCTCAGTTTGAGATGAGCAGTCACATCTTCTTGGGATGAAGTCCCCCAGGGTTTGTGGGTGGAGAACATGATAGCATGGCATTCATTCTGTCCCTCTATCATACTGGGCATTCCGACGCCACTAAAGTTGATTAAAAACATCTTGCTATCTTCACTGACTGTGAGAATTTTCATGATAACAGTTCAGAACAGTTTGTAAAGATACATCATCTCAAGTAGGAGTCGGGTGGGAAACCACAGTCCTTTTATTCTAAATGGACTCAGGGTGCAGACTATGCCAATTCCTTCAGTAAGAGCCCCCCAGGAATTGGATGCTCTCATAGGAAGATGAGGAAGAGTAAGGTACTTTTACACTGCACGGTCATCAAAGCCCTTTTCCTAAAGCAGTAAGACTTTGGGGCAGTAGGGAACAGCTTGTGGCCCAAGTGCTCTTTGGAACTGCCACTTTACACTCAAAATATATAGAACTGTCAGTTTACATTCAAAATATATACTAGCTCCAAGTGTCAGGTGAGATAGTGTCAGGCTAAATAACCAAACTTTTCCTTTTATAAGAAAATTTTTATTTTCTATAGTTTTGAGGGATATGTTATGGTTTTTATATAAAATGCCCCCCAAAAGTTTCATGTCTTCAAGACTTGGGCCCAAGCTGATGGTGCTGTCAAGTGAAGACTGGATTATGATGACCTCATCAATGGATTAATCCATTGATAAATTCATAGCTGAACGTACTATTAGGAGGTGGGGGTGGTTGGAAGACATAGGTCACTAGGAGCATGTGTTTGAAGGATGTACCGTGTCCCTTGTTGCCTCCTGTGTAACTCAGTTTGAGATGAGCATCCATGACTTCTTGGTTTCAATACTCTACCTCACCCAGAGGGGCCATAGTCTGAAACATCTGAAGCCCTGAGCCAATATTTCCTCTCTTCAAATTATTGTTCCCTGGAATTATGCCACAAGGACAGAAAATCAACACACAGAGTACCAGGAACAATAAGAATCCAGTATACGTGATCAATATTCATTGCTATGAATATGTAAAGTAAATCTATTGTCCCTTCTGCCTCAGTGAATAGGTTTTAGATGACATTTTCTGGCTTCCAGCCTAACTCTGTAGAAGGCTTGATGCTTCTTTGATGTAACCACAGGGCCTTTGAAGCTTCTGTAAAGTAATATGCAGTCCATGGATTGCACTGAGCTCTGGTACAACCAGTTTATACAAAGTACTTTCAATACCATTGGGGACAAGGAAAGTGAAAGGGAAAAGCTAGTTCATGCCTAGAATAGAGAAAGAATGATGGTGGTAGGGGGAGAGAAAAGAGTTCTCCAAAAGTTGAGGTGCCTATACCTGCACACCAAGAGGAGTTTATGTTACACCATAAAAATCATTATTCTTGGCCAAAGGATGTCATCTGAGAGCCAAGTTCTATTTCTGCCTAGGTTCTCTTCTATTCACTCAGTCATTGTGTTCAAACGGGCAAGTCAAGAGATATAGATCTACACCCCAGACTTTGGAAGACAGAGACAGAGGGGGGTCTAGGGAGGATAACCAACTGAGGATACAGGCCAAAGATTTGCTCTGGGTCATTCTGCTTTTAAAGCTGCCACACGCAACCTGGAGATTGGGGAGGAAAGGAGAGAAGCTAGAGAAAAGGAAAGCTTTGGAAGCTAGGAGCGTTTTCATCAATGATCCAGCCTTATGACTGCGATGGTTCCCAGGGAGACTCTGACCAAACTAATGCTCCTTAGAAGACTGGATCCCTTTATGGTACCCATCACCCCTGGCTCTCTAAGCATTTTTCAATATACGGGCAGGGAGGGAGACAGGCCTTTGATTCATCATTAAGGAGGGATTAGATTACGATTTGCATTTTAGTTTCCATTCAAATTACTTTTTAAAAATATTTTATTTATTATTATTTTTAGGGGTACTTCCTACATGTGCATAAGTGCACCCATGTTGTGCAGTGCCCATGCAGATCAGAAAAGGGTGTCAGATCCCCTTGAACTGGAATTGTAGACAGTTGTTAGCTGCTATACGTGGGTTCTGGGAACTGAACTGGATCTTCTGCAAGAGCAGCCAGCGCTCTTAACCACTGAGCCATCTCTTCAGTCCCACCAGTCAAAT